CCAACAATTAAAAATAACAAAACAAACGTATAACTATATATATATATATATATATATATATATATATATATATATATATATATATATACAGTATATGTGACTGACAAGCAACCCTAGTCGCTAGGGGTGTGGGAAGGGGTGGTTTCCAGGTGGGGGCGAGAGGTGGGTGGTTGGATGGAGACATGTTGGCTGGGTGGGGTTGCCGTGCAGTAGCAGAGAGAACAGTCTATGACACGGGTGATGTAACCAGTCAGGATGCTCTCGATGGTGCAGCTGTATAACTTTTTGAGGATCTGAGGACCCATGCCAAATCTTTTCAGTCTCCTGAGGGGGAATAGGCTTTGTCGTGCCCTCTTCACGACTGTCTTGGTGTGTTTGGACCATGATAGTTTGTTGGTGATGTGGACACCAAGGAACTTGAAGCACTCAACCTGTTCCACTACAGCCCTGTCGATGAGAATGGGGGCGTGCTCGGTCCTCTTTTTTCCCCTGTAGTCCACAATCATCTCCTTTGTCTTGATCACGTTGAGGGAGAGGTTGTTATCCTGGCACCACACGGCCAGGTCTCTGACCTCCTCCCTATAGTCTGTTCAACCTCTCTTTCATAACGTCTGAGATCCCCAGAGATTGGAAAGCTGCCGCGGTCATCCCCCTCTTCAAAGGGGGTGACACTCTAGATCCAAACTGCTACAGACCTATATCCATCCTGCCCTGCCTTTCGAAAGTATTCGAAAGCCAAGTTAACAAACAGATCATCGACCATTTCGAATACCACCGTACCTTCTCCGCTATGCAATCCGGTTTCCGAGCTGGTCACGGGTGCACTTCAGCCACGCTCAAGGTCCTAAACGATATTATAACCACGATTGATAATAGACAGTACTGTGCAGCCGTCTTCATCGACCTGGCCAAGGCTTTCGACTCTGTCAACCACCGCATTCTTATTGGCAGACTAAATAGCCTTGGTTTCTCAAATGACTGCCTCGCCTGGTTCACCAACTACTTCTCAGATAGAGTTCAGTGTGTCAAATCGGAGGGCCTGTTGTCTGGACCTATGGCAGTCTCTATGGGGGTGCCACAGGGTTCAATTCTTGGGCCGACACTTTTCTCCGTGTATATCAATGATGTCGCTCTTGCTGCTGGTGACTCTCAGATCCACCTCTACGCAGACAACACCATTTTGTATACATCTGGCCCTTCATTGGACACTGTGTTAACAAACCTCCAAACGAGCTTCAATGCCATACAACAATCCTTCAGTAGCCTTCAACTGCTCTTAAACACTAGTAAAACTAAATGCATGCTTTTCAATCGAACGCTGCTAGCACCCGCCCACCCGACTAGAATCACCACTCTCGACGGGTCTGACCTAGAGTATGTGGACAACTACAAATATCTAGGTGTCTGGTTAGACTGTAAACTCAACTTCCAGACTCACATAAAGAATCTCCAATCCAAAGTTAAATCTAGAATCGGCTTCCTATTTCGCAACAAAGCCTCCTTCACTCATGCTGCCAAACATGCCCTCGTAAAACTGACTATCCTACCGATCCTTGACTTCGGCGATGTCATTTACAAAATAGCCTCCAACACTCTACTCAGCAAATTGGATGTAGTCTATCACAGTGCCATCCGTTTTGTCTCCAAAGCCCCATACACTACCCACCACTGTGACCTGTACGCTCTTGTTGGCTGGTCCTCACTACATGTTCGTCGTCAAACCCACTGGCTCCAGGCCATCTATAAATCACTGCTAGGCAAATCCCCGCCTTATCTTAGCTCATTGGTCACCATAGCAGCACCCACCCGTAGTCTGCGCTCCAGCAGGTATATCTCACTGGTCATTCCCAAAGCCAACACCTCCTTTGGCCGCCATTCCTTCCAGTTCTCTGCTGCCAATGACTGGAACGAATTGCAAAAATCTCTGAAGCTGGAGACTCTTATCTCCCTCAACAACTTTAAGCATCAGTTGTCAGAGCACCTTACCGATCACTGCACCTGTACACAGCCCATCTGAAATTAGCCCACCCAACTACCTCATCCCTATATTGTTATTTGTTTTGCTCTTTTGCACCCCAGTATCTCTATTTGCACATCATCTCTTGCACGTCTAGCATTCCAGTGTTAATACTATTGTAATTATTCTGCACTATAGCCTATTTATTGCCTTACCTCCATAACTTGCTACATTTGCACACACTGTATATATATTTTCTGTTGTATTTCTGACTTTATGTTTTTTTTTTACCCCATATGTAACTCTGTGTTGTTTTTATTGCACTACTTTGCTTTATCTTGGCCAGGTCGCAGTTGTAAATGAGAACCTGTTCTCAACTGGCTTACCTGGTTAAATAAAGGTGAAAAAAAAAAAAAAAAAAAAAAGGCTGTCTCATCGTTGTCGGTGATCAGGCCTACCACTGTTGTGTCGTCGGCAAACTTAATTATGTTGTTGGAGTCGTGCCTGGCCATGCAGTCATGGGTGAACAGGGAGTACAGGAGGGGACTGAGCACGCACCCCTGAGGGGCCCCCGTGTTGAGGATCAGTGTGGCAGATGTGTAGTTACCTACCCTCACCACCTGGGGGCGGCCCGTCAGGAAGTCGAGGATCCAGTTGCAGAGGGAGGTGTTTAGTCCCAGGGTCCTTAGCTTAGTGATGAGCTTTGAGGGCACTATGGTGTTGAACGCTGAGCTGTAGTCAATTAATAGCATTCTCACGTAGGAGTTGTGTTACGGTCTTTACGATATCAACTCACCTCAGATGAACTCTAATCATCTCCCTCTCCCTCTGCAGCATGGCACAGAAAGAGAAGCTCCAGTGTCTGAAGGACTTCCATAAGGACACTCTGAAGCCTTCCCCAGGGAAGAGCCCGGGCACCCGGCCCGAGGACGAGGCAGAGGGGAAACCCGTCCAGAGGGAGAAGTGGAACTCCAAACTTGACTTTATCCTGTCCGTCGCTGGTGGCTTCGTGGGTTTAGGGAACGTCTGGCGTTTCCCATACCTCTGCTATAAGAATGGCGGAGGTGAGTTTCTTACTCCTATACAGTTAATGACTAGGACATGAAGGGTGAAATGGAATGAAGCCATTCCCATTCCAACTCTGTATTCTAAGAGGTTTGGGGTCAATGACCCTATTTCACTGTGACACATCAGTGTAAACAGAAGACGCAGAGTGCTGTGTTCAAGAGGCGGTTAAAGTCAGGAGATGGTGATAATACAGATCAGAACAGCTAGCGGTCTCTCTGCATGCAACCCATGGTTCCATTACAGCTGCTGTCTAGGTCTAGAACCTGACGAATGTACACTTCAAAGGCATTCCAAGGTTGACTTACTTGACTAACGAATGTCCTCCGTCTCACACTTCCTTCTAACATTACTACATTACGTCAAATTGTTTACCGGAATACTCAGATTCAGAGAGTTACTCCCTCGATGCACACATACTCCATTGATTTTTGTCCACTTTTTTTCTTCTTCTTGAATCTGACACATTTGTGGTTATATCATGTTTTCTCCTCCAGGTGCATTTCTCATCCCGTACACCATCTTCCTCTTTGGCGGAGGTCTCCCTGTGTTTTTCCTGGAGGTGGCCCTTGGACAGTACACCTCCGAGGGTGGAATCACCTGCTGGGAAAAACTTTGCCCCATCTTTACCGGTGAGTACATTTTTGATTTAAATAAACAAAATAGGTTTCTACCCTCAAGGGTCTTTCCTGGTTAAATAAATGTAAAATTAATAAAAAACCTTTATTCATACAGGTAAGTCAATTAAAAACAGAATATTTTTTTTGCAACGATGACCTGGCAAGAGTATCTAGAAAAGCAGAGTATTCTCGGTCAAATCGGCATAGCCTACTAAGGAATAGTAAATCATTGATGGACAGGTCAATCATATTCATGCCAGCCCAGACCAGGAAAGATACCACACGTTGTACTACAGTGGCTCTGCTTCGCCCACACCGACTCCAGGGTAGTCCAACCAACAGCTAGCCTTAGTTTGATACTGCCTGGTTGCTAGGCGCCCTGAATTGCAGATGCATCCTGTTCCCTTTGGACTCCCCTCCTCTCCTAACTGCCAAATAACTGCCAACTGATATGCCCTGGCTTCATTAGACATTACACACTGTACTGAGGGTTGAGAGGGAAACTGAACATTACTAGAAGGTACACTGCTCTTGGCTGGACTCCCTCTTGTCCAGTGTATTTGCTCATGCCACTCAGAAAATAGATTTTTGGCCGTTTTCTGATATTTTGTTATTTTACCACTGCAGGTGTAGTATTTCTTACAGCATTCAATACTCCCAAAGCAAAAGCTGAATATGTTATGAGGATACACACACAAAGCATATTGATTGTTGTAAAGAGGAGAGGTGTGTCCGTGATAAAGAGAAAAATCGTTTGCATAGTCAACTTACACACAGCTCTGACACACACACGTACCCCACCAGACATGCCACCAGGGGTCTTTTCACAGTCCCCAGGTCCAGAACAAATTCAAGGAAACGTACAGTATTATACAGAGCCATGAGTGCATGGATCACACTTCCGTCTTATTTAGCGCATGTGAACAGAAAACCTGGTTTAAAAAAACAAATAAAGCAACACCTCACGGCACAACGCCTCTCCCCATGTGACCTACTTGTTGTGTGTATGTACTGACATGTATGTGTAACTGATAGATGCACACACACAAACACACTACATGTTAATGTTTTTAAATGTATCTAAATTGTAAAGTATTTTGTCTGTAATGTATTTTTTATAATGTGTCGGACCCCATTAAGACTAGTTGTCGCCATTGGCGTCGGCTAATGGGGATCCTAATAAATCAAATCAAATCAAAAACACACACACACACACACAGACATGCACACAAAGCCCTTGAGACTCAGCCGTGCGGTGAACAGAGTGTGCTGAATTATAGGTTGCTATGGCAGCAGCGCAGGAAAACATCAGAGAGATGCCTAGCAATGAGGTCTGACCCAAGAAGGAGACAGGCAGGCAGACAGGCAGGCAGACAGACAAGCAGACAGGCAGACAGGCAGACAGACAAGCAGACAGACAGACAGACAAGCAGACAGGCAGACAGACAGACAGGCAGACAGGCAGGCAGGCAGGCAGGCAGGCAAACAAACAGGCAGGCATTTTATAAACAGGAAAGATAGTATGCTGTGTAAGTATTAGTCTAGATGGCAGGAGGCTGACGAGCTCTATCTGTAGACATAGGCCAAATCCCAAATGGCATCCTTTTCCCTACATAGTGCAGTACGGGCCAAAAGTATTGCACTGTATAGGGAATAGGGTGCTGTTTGAGACGCAGACAGGCACTCACCTCCAGCCAAACAAGGCCAAGCCTCACTCTAAAGCTCTCTATTTGTATAATACATTCAGATAAGATGAGACTGGATGTCAGCAAAGCAAGCTGTTAATTTTCAACCCAGGTGGCTGCCTGCCTGAATGGATTGGTGGGGGTGCCCCAGTTTTATTTTCATTAAGGAGAAGTAACAGAGGGTGACCGTGGGAGGAGAGGAGGGACAGGAGGTGAGGGGAGAGGAGGGAGGGAGGGGATGGAGGAAGGGAGGTAGAGGAGGGAGGAAAAAGAGAGGAGAGGGTGAGGAGTGGAGGGGAGGGAGGGGAGAGGAGGGGAGAGGAGGGGAGGGGGAGGGAGAGGAGGGTGAGGAGGGGAGGGAGAGGAGGGGATTTTCACGTCCTAATTCTAAATGATTACAACAGCATTCAAAACATACACACACGTTCATTACAAAATAGAGCTACATTGGGTTTCTTAATATCAAATCTCCCTTCCTAAGTGTTTTTGTACAGTGTAGTGTACATGTGTGTAATCTCGCTGATCCAGTCGCAAGCCTCAGAATATGTCATGTACTCTGATGTCTGGCAAGATTAACCTGACCCTTTCCATTCCCCCCCCCCCCCCCCCCCCCCCCCCCCCCCCCCCACCCCCCCCCCCCCCCCCCCCCCCCAAGGTATCGGCTACGCTTCGATTGTGATCGTGTCCCTCCTGAACATCTACTACATAGTGATCCTGGCCTGGGGTTTGTATTACCTGTTCCAGTGCTTCCAGCCGGAGCTGCCCTGGGCCAAGTGTAAAAACTCCTGGAACACAGACCGTTGTGTGGAGGACACCGTCCGCAAGAACAAGACCCTGATGCTGGCCGCTAACATCACCAACTTCACCTCGCCCGTCACCGAGTTCTGGGAGTGAGTACAGTAGCTTTTTAAATGTATTTAACCTTTTATCTATACAGGATAGTTTCACTGAGTTCTGGGAGTGAGTAAAGTAGCTTTTTAAATGTATTTAACCTTTTATCTATACAGGATAGTTTCACTGAGTTCTGGGAGTGAGTAAAGTAGCTTTTTAAATGTATTTAACCTTTTATCTATACAGGATAGTTTCACTGAGTTCTGGGAGTGAGTACAGTAGCTTTTTAAATGTATTTAACCTTTTATCTATACAGGATAGTTTCACTGAGTTCTGGGAGTGAGTAAAGTGCTGGAATATACTTGATTTAGCTACTTTAATAATTCCTTTAGTTACTTTCCTTTAGTTCCTTTCGCAGGTCTCCCTTGTGACCTCAAAGGCACTACCTTGTTAAATAAAGGTCTCCCTTGTGACCTCAAAGGCACTACCTTGTTAAATAAAGGTCTCCCTTGTGACCTCAAAGGCACTACCTTGTTAAATAAAGGTCTCCCTTGAGACCTCAAAAGGCACTACCTTGTTAAATAAAGGTCTCCCTTGTGACCTCAAAGGCACTACCTTGTTAAATAAAGGTACACATAGTGTAGCATAGGGCCTCACTGTAACATGGGGCCTTTTAGCATTCTAGTTTAGGGTTTTCATCACATCCTTTATCCCTCCCACTTTTCTTTGGCATTCAACCTGAACACAACATACCATGTTTCTCTTTCATATCGTTTATCTTTCCTCATCCCTGTTTCTACTTTCCTCTCTACAAAATGTTGTCCAATTCAATAATACACAAGTTTTCAATTTAACTTCATAAAAATGTTTTCATTAATCCAAAGTTGTACATATATCAACAGTTTAATTTAACTATAAACAACTGTTTATAATTACATCATCAACAAGTGTTATAATTTCATATCAAAATGTTACTTTACACTAAATACCATGTTTCTTTAACTCTCCACTGTTTCTACCTTTCATTCCCCATGTTTCTACCTTTCCTCTAAAACCCATGTTTATTCTTAGAATATAACACTGTTTCTCAATTACTCTCAAACTGTTTAATTTCATATAACACACTGTTTCTAATTCATCTCCCATGTTTATACTTTCCTATAAATGTTTCTACTTTGCAAGGTAAAAACCAGGTTTAATTTACTATCAAACCCTGTTTTCACTTTCTAATAAAACTGTTATAATTTAATCTCAAAACTGTTTATAATTTAATATCAAAATGTTTTAATTTAATATAAATGTTTATCATTTAATTTAATATAAAACTGTTATAATTTAATTAATATAAAAGTTTATAATTTAATATAAATGTTTATAATTTACATCTAAAAGTTTATAATTTAATATACAAAATGTTTATAATTTAATATAATATAAAAATGTTTATAATTTAATATAAAATGTTTATAATTTAATATAAAAATGTTTATAATTTAATATAAATGTTTATATTTAATACTAAACATGTTTATAATTTAATATAAAGTTTATAATTTAATATAAAATGTTTATACTTTATATACAAATGTTATAATTTAATATAAAATGTTTATATTTATATAAAATGTTATATTTATTTAATTAAATGTTTATAATTTAATATCAATGTTTATAATTTCATATAACTGTTTATCATTTCTTAACATGTTTATTACTTTACTATAACATGTTTTTCTTTACATTTATCTAATGTTTCTCATTTCATTTAATATACAATGTTTTCCTTTCATTTCTCCCTGTTTCTTTCCTCTAACACTGTTTCTACTTTCCTTTCCTACACACTGTTTACTCCTTTCTTCCTCTCCTGTTTTCTTTCTCTCCTGTTTATTTCCTTTCCTCTCCCCTGTTTCTCTTTCCTATCACCCTGTTTCTATTTCATCCACCATGTTTCTCCTTTCTCTCCCTGTTTCTCCTTTCCTCTCCCCTGTTTCTCCTTTCCTCTCCCTTTTTCTCCTTTCCTTTCTCTCCCCTGTTTTCCTTTCCTCTCCCCTGTTTCTCCTTTCTCTCCCTCTGTTTCTCCTCTCCTCTCCCCCTGTTTCTCCTTTCCTCTCCCCTGTTTCTCCTTTCCTCTCCCCCGTTTCTCATTTCCTCTCCCCTGTTTCTCCTTTCCCTCTCCCCTGTTTCTCCTTTCCTTTCCTCTCCCCCTGTTTCTCCTCTCCTCTCCCCTGTTTCTCCTTTCCTCTCCCCCTGTTTCTCCTTTCCTCTCCCCTGTTTCTCCTTTCCTCTCCCCCTGTTTCTCCTTTCCTCTCCCCTGCTTCTCCTTTCCTCTCCCAATGGTCATGTTTATCTGGCAGCGCTGGCAGCGTGGTCAGTGAACGAATGCTCAGGCAACACACAAACATAGGGCCAGGAACAGGTAAACCACTCTTAACTGAGCAGAGTAGAGAAGAGACTGGCTGGCTGGAGCTGAAGGACTAGCTGTAAGCTAACATTTAGATAGACGCCAGCCGGCCGGCTGCTCTGTCATGTCTCTGTGGTGTTTTCATTTGGCTTCTCTGAAACATCCACACACTTTGTGCCTTTTGTGAAGGATTCTAGTGAAGTGACCTTTATCTGAGGACTGCTCTGTAGTACATGCTTGTTTTGATAAAAAGCTGATTCTGGGCCTTGTTATAGCTGACTTGGTAAAATGCTGTCCCCTTGTTATAGCCGACTTGGTAAAATGCTGTCCCCTTGTTATAGCCGACTTGGTAAAATGCTGTCCCCTTGTTATAGCGGACTTGGTAAAATGCTGTCCCCTTGTTATAGCCGACTTGGTAAAATGCTGTCCCCTTGTTATAGCCGACTTGGTAAAATGCTGTCCCCTTGTTATAGCCGACTTGGTAAAATGCTGTCCCCTTGTTATAGCTGACTTGGTAAAATGCTGTCCCCTTGTTATAGCGGACTTGGTAAAATTCTGGGCCCTTGTTAAAACTGGCCATGAAAATCTATGGGCCCTAATTATAGCTGACCTAAAATCTCTGGGCGTCCTACTAATCTAACATTAAACATATCTGACTGTGTGTGTCCTCTCTTCTCTCCATAGACGTAATGTCCTCAGCATCTCCAGTGGCATCGATGAGATTGGGGAGGTCAAGTGGGACCTGGCTCTGTGTCTGCTGGGGGTCTGGGTCATCTGCTTCTTCTGCATCTGGAAGGGAGTCAAATCCACCGGAAAGGTGAGCTGGGACGCCATTTCTGGACATTTCTGGTTTTATAAAAGCCATTTTTACATCAGCAGTACCCGGCCTAGACCACAAAGAGCAAACAAAGCAGAAGTGACAGCACAGCGGCAATTTGGTTGATATGCAACAACTTGCTTGGGTTAAGTTTAGGATAAGCGTTAGGGTTTTGGTGGTGATAGTTACTCTGTCAATCCTCCTGTTTGTCTCTCTATCTCTGGGCTCTGATGCTGCCTGGTTTATCGTATATCTTAAGGAGAAACACCAAGTTGTACAGGCTGCTACTATAGTGCAGGCTGTCACCATAAACCAAGAGCAGTTTCCCACAGTGCATTTACATCTCAGTATAACGAGTGTAGACAAGAGCCAGACCAGTCACAGCAACACCCCCGGGGACTGCTAGGGAGCTGGATCGATCCCAGACACCTTGTCTTATTGCCCCAATCCCATGTATTCATTGGTTTAGGCTGATTTATGTTTCCCTGTCCCTCTAAGCTGTAAGTTATCCGGTTATCTGCGGTCTTTGGTTCCTGAAAAGGGAAGCGTAGAGTCAGCCTTCACAAAACAAGAGGAGAGAGTATAACAGAGAGGATTGGATTGTGATAAAAGATGGTCTTGTGACAGCCTGATTCTGACAGTTAACTGAGCATGTCTCATTCTCGTTACACATAAGATTTAACAAAAAAATTATGTTGTTTGTGAGATCTACACTGTCGATGTGTAAATCTACTGATACATCGTCTCTCGTTTTGTCCTCTGTTTCCCTACAGGTTGTGTACGTCACCGCTACCTTCCCCTTCGTCATGCTGATCATTCTGTTGATCCGCGGTGTCACTTTGCCAGGAGCATCGGAAGGAATCAAGTTCTACCTGTACCCCGACCTGCAACGTCTCAAAGACCCCGAGGTAGAAACACATTGCCTTGCCCCGTCCCGCCTCTCCCTGTCCTGCCTTGCCCCGCCCCTCCCTGTCCTGCCTTGCCCGCCCCTCCCTGTCCTGCCTTGCCCCATCCTGCCCTGTCCTGCCTTGCCCCGCCCCTCCCTGTCCTGCCTTTCCCCATCCTGCCCCACCCTGTCCTGCCTTGCCCCGTCCTGCCCCAACCTGTCTGGGGACTTTATTAATATATCTATTCAATTAGCAGCTGTGACAGGGATTCAAACAAACCACACTAAATCCTGGCCTAAATCTTGAATTTTCTAATCCTTTGAGTTTAATATTTGATGTTATCTTTACAAAAAATATTTAAAATTGCCTTAATGAATAGAAAGGGAGATGAAGGACATCCTTGTCTTATGCCCCAAGATAATGTAAATGTGGTGTAGTTGGCTGTAAAGCACATTTTCATTGTTAGTCCTTTGGCAAAATGTGATTCTCCTGGAATAAGCAAAAATGTGTAGAGAAAATCTGTCAAAATACTACCCAAAATACTACCATAATAATAGCCAAAATAGTCAAAATACTACCCAAAATACTACCCAATGTTTCCCAAAGCTTGCGCCTCAGCCTTCGTGTCTACTTCTCCCCTTTTATCTCCAGGTCTGGATCGATGCTGGCACTCAGATCTTCTTCTCCTATGCCATCTGTCTGGGAGCTATGACATCACTGGGGAGCTACAACAAGTACAAATACAACTGCTATAGGTGAGTGTCAGCGCCGGGGGGGGGGGGGGGGGGGGGGGGGGGGGGGGGGGGGAGAGGTGATGGTTGTGGGGCCTAATCCAGTGGTAAAAAAAAAAAATAGTTGGTAACAAAACAAGACAAAAAGTGGGGGATCTAGGTTCCTTTTGTGTTCATTAACAACCTCCATGACATATGTGTGATATAGGGACTGTTTGCTGCTGGGAGGCCTCAACAGCGGTACCAGTTTTGTGTCTGGCTTCGCAATATTTTCCGTCCTGGGCTTCATGGCACAAGAGCAAGGGGTGGACATTGCCGATGTGGCAGAGTCAGGTACGAGGTGGTCAAAGTGGCAGTGATGGTGGGCACTGCTACTTAAAATAAACAAACAACAAATAAACAAACAAATAAACAACAACAGTTGCTGGTTCTATCCAACAGAAATAATACAAAATCTAAAATATTAAATGTAAAGAAAGAAGTGGATTTATTTTTCGTTAAAGACGGCATCGAAATATGGAAGTTTCAGCAATCAAACACTCATTGACAGAAATAAAATACCAAGTTACAGCGTTCAGTGCTTCTGTATGACGTGGATTTCACAGAGTTGGATCTGGTTGGATTCGTCAAGCAATCGAGTGAAATGCTGGTGGAAAAAATTGTTTTACTGTTAAATTGGATATTGTCCAGAACGCTAGGGAGCGAAGAGTCAAGCCATTCCTGAGAGATCCATCATGACCTTTTCTTCTCACGATTACCAGTAGATTTAAGTGTCCTGCTCCAGCCTGTTCCAACAGATATTTACTGTATGAGAGTCAGTAATCAAAGGACATCTTGTGCCAAGTTAACACCAAAAAAACTAAAGAAGTCTGACTCTTAGGTACTTAATTATGTATTTAAGTAAGGTCTAGCATACTTATCCATCTTTTACAATGTTATTTTCAGTTCAGTGGTTGCTGCCCATGGTGGATTCTATACGTTCTGTTTTCTCATTGTAAAAGTATTGTATTGGGACAATAATAATAAGCATGATCTATCAACGCTATTACTTTGAAAACGTAATTATTCTTCTCCTGTGGATTTACAAGAGACATGCATCAGTGTTGATGATGTTTTTAGTTTTTTTCTTCTGTAATTAAGAAAAAAAAACACCCCTCATTTCTCCGGAAATACATTATGATATGACATATGGGTCTTTTTGTTTTTAATACGCTGCAATCCTGTATTGTTGACCCCCTCTGGCAGTGTTTAGTCAGCCTGGACAGTCTCCTCTGGCCTTGAACACTCTCTATCCCAGTGCAGGAGGCTGTACAGGGCGTTCCTGCCTGAATACAGAGATGCAGTGAATGTATGTAGGAAAATAAATATTTTCTTCATATGGATGAAACTAATCTAGTTGATTAGTTGACTGATCTAGAGCAATGCTACTGTAAGTAGTTTAATAGAAGTAATCCAAGGAGTTTCGACAGGAGAGTATTGGTACACAGTACTGTAGATGGTTTGTGATACCATATTGAAGCTTACACCTTGTGCTGTAAGGACTGACATAAGGTGTATAGTACACTGGGGAAGAGAAAAGTTGGTCTTAAACCTGAATAAGTTTTATTTTAGGGAGATGCAGAGTAGATTCAGATTTGCACCAACGCTGAGGGTGATACATATGTTCTGCAGGCGACGCTGTTACCCGCTAGACCAGCCTCAAGCACGAGAGAGGCTTTTATTTCGTCATTATTATTACTGAAGTATCAAAGCCAGCTCAGGCAGTCTGCTAGCTAGTCATGTCGTGTTTGGTTGGATGCCAGTTAAACCAACTTTATGCTATGTGTTTGCTGTACTTCCTGTTTTGTTTTTTAACTTCTGTTGTAACAGGTTATCCCAACGTTATAACGCCACGTTATCGAGACGTTGCTATAGTTACAATCGAGAAGAGGCGACGTATGTTGCCTCTGATCCTGCCATTGTTATTATATACTATATATTCTACTATATACTATACTAGTCATGTTATATACTAGCCTATATATTCTACTATATACTATACTAGTTATGTTATATACTAGCCTATATATTCTGCTATATACTATACTAGTTATGTTATATACTAGCCTATATAATCTGCTATATACTATACTAGTTATGTTATATACTAGCCTATATATTCTACTATATATTATACTAGTCATGTTATATACTAGCCTATATATTCTGCTATATACTATACTAGTCATGTTATACACTAGCCTATATATTCTGCTATATACTATACTAGTTATGTTATATACTAGCCTATATATTCTGCTATATACTATACTAGTTATGTTATACACTAGCCTATATATTCTACTAGTGTAGTGTAATTATTATATTGATATAGCTGTTGATATTGGATGAACACCGTAATGCTATTGTAAGGCTACGTTGACCTTCTTTGATAGTTCTTGTCATAACATGAATCCCTAGTCTTGCCAGGAGCCATAAGTTAAAAGAGCATTAACAATGCATTACACTTACATGGCCTTACGTTTATGATTGTTGAGGATAAGATGAGACAAGACAAGACAGATTTACACCTTGAGGATTTTTTTTATTTCTTAACATTCGAGTTTGGTCTGTGCTATACTTGGGCGCACCACGGTGGCATCAGACCAGATCAAACGATAGAACCCTGGTTTCTAATTGTGTTTTCTCCACTTCCCCATCCCCCTCTCTCTTCTTGTTCCTCTCTAGGTCCTGGCTTGGCCTTCATTGCCTATCCTAAAGCTGTGTCTATGATGCCGCTGCCCACCTTCTGGGCTATCCTCTTCTTCATCATGCTTCTGCTACTGGGTCTCGACAGTCAGGTCAGTAGTCTGCTCACTATGAATCAAGAATCAGAATCAGAATCTGAATCAGTCAGGTCAGCACTATAATCATTATGAATCAAGAATCTGAATCTGAGTCTGAATCAGTCAGGTCAGTACTATAATCATTATGAATCAAGAATCAGAATCTGAGTCTGAATCAGTCAGGTCAGTACTATATTCATTATGAAACAAGAATCAGAATCTGAATCTGAATCAGTCAGGTCAGCACTATAATCATTATGAATCAAGAATCAGAATCTGAGTCTGAATCAGTCAGGTCAGTACTATATTCATTATGAATCAAGAATCTGAATCTGAGTCTGAGTCTGAATCTGAGTCTGAGTCTGATTCTGATTCTGAATCTAAGTCTGAATCGGAATCTGAGACAGACAGGTCAGGTCAGGTCGTTATGACAACAGTAGTAAGCAAGTTTATTTAGACCAGTCATATGAACACTGAAATGATGAAACAAGTTTATTTAGACCAGTCATATGAACACTGAAATGATGAAACAAGTTTATTTAGACCAGTCATATGAACACTGAAATGATGAAACAAGTTTATTTAGACCAGTCATATGAACACTGAAATGATGAAACAAGTTTATTTAGACCAGTCATATGAACACTGAAATGATGAAACAAGTTTATTTAGACCAGTCATATGAACACTGAAATGATGAAACAAGTTTATTTAGACCAGTCATATGAACACTGAAATGATGAAACAAGTTTATTTAGACCAGTCATATGAACACTGAAATGATGAAACAAGTTTATTTAGACCAGTCATATGAACACTGAAATGATGAAACAAGTTTATTTAGACCAGTCATATGAACACTGAAATGATGAAACAAGTTTATTTAGACCAGTCATATGAACACTGAAATGATGAAACAAGTTTATTTAGACCAGTCATATGAACACTGAAATGATGAAACAAGTTTATTTAGACCAGTCATATGAACACTGAAATGATGAAACAAGTTTATTTAGACCAGTCATATGAACACTGAAATGATGAAACAAGTTTATTTAGACCAGTCATATGAACACTGAAATGATGAAACAAGTTTATTTAGACCAGTCATATGAACACTGAAATAATGAAACAAGTTTATTTAGACCAGTCATATGAACACTGAAATGATGAAACAAGTTTATTTAGACCAGTCATATGAACACTGAAATGATGAAACAAGTTTATTTATACCAGTCATATGAACACTGAAATGATGAAACAAGTTTATTTAGACCAGTCATATTAACACTGAAATGATGAAACAAGTTTATTTAGACCAGTCATATGAACACTGAAATGATGAAACAAGTTTATTTAGACCAGTCATATGAACACTGAAATGATGAAACAAGTTTATTTTGACCAGTCATATGAACACTGAAATGATGAAACAAGTTTATTTAGACCAGTCATATGAACACTGAGATAATGAAACTTAATACACTTGATGGACTTGTAAGTTGTAAGTTTCATGATGAGACAGTAAGTCAGTTTATTGATCATATGAGTCATATGATTGCCGAGATGGTGAAACTATATCATGGGTGGTCTGATGCTACTGTACAACACTGTACAGACGTATCATACTATACTATTACATATCTATACATAGGTGTCTGGGATTCCATAGACTTAACATCGACAAGTTTTAATGTATTGGCTACTGTACAACAGTGTACACAAGTATAATGTGCTAGTATAGTTCCAGCTTTGTCTAGACTCTACTGTGTACACTAGGTAGGTGGTAGTTGAGGACACTAGACAACGGGAGAGGAAAAACAAAACAAGGATACACATGCTACATCAGTTGTAGCTAGAAAACGTAGCGGCTCTATCCAATCAGATCCGATTTAGCCAACACCCCGCATGGCGGTTGTTTTGACGGTGCTCGGAGTTGGAACTGCGTCAAATTCACAAGTGGCTCCCCGGCGTCATACCTGAAGTGGACATCGCCGCTGGCTCGCCAACGGCGTCGCATTAACAGAAATCCTCATGCAGCATTTGTTTACAAGTTGGAACACTGGAATGTGAGATGTTATCTACCTCGATGAGACTGATAGAAAATCCTCATTCCTTTTCAATTTGAGTGTAATTATTTCTAAATGATTTCTACAATTTCTCGTTCTGAATTTCTAACGCGAGTGGGGTGGGTGTGGCTTCGATGCAAGCTGCTCGCGCAATTTGACGGCTCCAACGCAGTTCTAGCAGTTCCGTTTCCGACGCCGCCAAAAACACCAACGCCATGCGGGTGTCTGCCATGGCCAGTTAACACTCGATCTGATTGAATCTAGGCCTAGAAGCCGCTTTGGCAGAATCGCTGGGTGAGCTGAAGCAAGAAGTGATAGGTAAAAAAACAAACACTGTTTATTGGCAACTGCTGAGTGTTGTGTCACTGTCAATTAAGTTGGTCAACCTCAACAATATCAAATTTCTCTGTCCTGGTGAAATTCAACACTCTGCTAAGTCATTAATCCTTAGTCATATATATATATATATATATATATGCCATTGAGCAGATGCTTTTATCCTAAGCGAATTACAGTCATTCGTGCATACATTTTATATATGGAGTGGCCCCAACAGGAGATGAACCCATTACCCATGTTGCAATGCTCTACCAACTGAGCCACACAGGTCCACTATTTGGATACAGGAAGGCAACTGTATTACATAACATGATTTAGACTACCCAGATACATAACACATGAAACACAAAAACTATGTTTTAAGTGAGGCGTTAGGGCTGGTCTGAAGCATGAGGTCTAACTTCACCTATGCTCAACCAGCGTTGTTCAGCACAGAGCTTTGACTTACTACAGTAGCTAAGTTGTTCTATTGTACTACAGACAACATGTACTCACCACAGGTCAGGTTACTTACAGATGTAGGGTCTTAATTTGATCACCCTGTTGCAGGAGAACTTTTCTACAATGCAGGAAATGTAAAACTTGTAGTGCATTTGAGGATTGAAAAGGCTTCACAAGTTTGTAATTTCCACTTTGAAATTTCAGACTTGATTTTCGCTCACGAAAAAATGTATCAACCCCTACAGAAATGTCCATTAGTTATAATCCACATAATAATTCACATTTCCTGTTGCTGCAGGAGTATTTTCCTGCTGTACCAAACTGGCTCATATTAGGATTCAAACCTTCTCAAACAGCCTAATTAAATTGTAACTGACCCCCAACCCTGATCACAACATTGTTAGCCTATCAGATCGACTGTATAGTATGCTAACTGAGTACTAACGAGATCTCTTGTCTCTGTGTCGTCTTTCTGTCCCCAGTTTGTGGAAGTGGAAGGACAGATCACTTCCTTGGTGGATCTGTATCCCTCCTTCCTAAGGAAGGGTTACCGTCGGGAAATTTTTATAGCTATTGTGTGCTCCATAAGCTATCTTCTGGGACTTACCATGGTTACTAGGGTAAGTACTATATTCTAGTAGTGTACTTTCATTTTTTACACTGATATCATATTGTTGTACTAGTGTTACTAAAGTAAGGTCTAGTTAATGTATTTTCCTACACAAGATACTGTATTACAAATGTCCAGTCTAGTCAACTACTTTAGCTACACCAGAATGAATACAAAATGATCTGACTAAAGTTAGTTCTATCTAGTATTATGCTTTGCCCTATTGTACTATGGTCTCTGCTATTACTGGTGTCTCCATTATTAGCATCCATAACAATGCAGGCTATAGAAATATTAGGGCATAACATACAATACAAGATACAGTGCCACATGGGCAGTACAGTAAATAGCTACTCCCTGATGCAGTGGTTCCCAAACTGGGGTTCAAGTGGCCCCAGGGGCACTCAGGTCAGAGCCAGTGAGTACAAGTTTCAGAACCACTACTGCCCTAATGAATAGAGAAAAAAAAGTATTGAGGGGATTATTAATAAACTTCAGAATTCCCCCAGCAACAAGAGTCCCATAGATACAGTTCCACTTCTTCAATTCCTCCCTTCTCATGTCAGCCAGTCCCTCATCATAGCGCCGGTAAATACGCTGGTGTAGTTTCAGAGCTTCCTCATGGCCTACTGTACGGTCTATTTAGAGACATTTCACACTTAACTCGATGTCTTTAATCTCCAATCCACTCTTTATTTTTAACGGCTCTGAAAACCTCCCTGCCTCTCGGCCTCACAATGTAGAAACAAGCATGTGATGCCCCTCACGCAGACCTTACCCAACCACAGTCATTCCCTAGGCCTACCTCACTAAATCCCCCTAGACAGCAAGGGAGTCAGGGATTTACTGCTTTATGTGTTGTTGTTTTTTTCTCATGACATCACAATCTCATGCTGCCTCTCACTGAGTGCTCTGTTGGGAGTTGGAACTCGGGACGGCTCAAGGTTCCGTTGGGCTGTTCCGTTGGAACATGGCTGGTCCCAAACGGCATCCTATATGACCCCATTATATATGTAGAGTCAAAATAAGTGCATTCTGCGGCAACACATAAAATGACCCTATTCATTGAGTTAATGGTAATGACCTCCATCTCATCTGATCCATACAACAAATCATCTATTTTCTGTGACAATTTTGTTTTATAGATTAGGGTTTATTTGAAATATTTTCATAGTTTTCATAGTTCCTTACTCACGATGGTTAATTTGTGTGTCCCGTGCCAGAAATATATATATTTTTTAGCTCAGGTAAAATCATAGACTGTAAAAAATAATGGATGGAGCCATCGATGACGACACCCCATTGTTTCCAATGTAAAGTCTCAGTGGCGCATTTGAAGATCAGGAAGTGTTGTTTTAGCGTGTTGCCAACTTGCTTCATGGAGGAGTTTTTGGAAACATTTCATGCGTAGGTTGAGCTACTCTAGGAAGTGACGTTGCAGGCTGTCGGTAGCCGCTAAATGATCCTTATAACTTCTGTGTGCGGTTTTAAAATACTCGGTGCAAGGACATACATCTGGTTAAATCGAAGCAAGTATTGGTACCATGATCGTATCTGGTTAAATCGAAGCAAGTATTGGTACAATGATCGTGTTCGGGAAAAAAAATGTGTATATCCACGAATATTGACCATGAAGATCATGGTGATTTACAGTGGCTTGCGAAAGTATTCACCTCCCTTGGCATTTTTCCTATTGTCTTACAACCTGGAATTAAAATGGATTTTTTGGGGGTTTGTATCATTTGATTTACACAACATGCCTACCACTTTGAAGATGCAAAATATTTTTGGGGGTGAAACAAACATGAAATAAGACAAAAAAGCAGAAAACATGAGCGTGCATAACTATATATATACTGAGATCATGTAACACTTAGATTGTACACAGGTGGACTTTATTTAACTAATTATGTGACTTCTGAAAGTAATTGGTTGCACCAGATCTTATTTAGGGGCTTCATAGCAAAGGGGGTGAATACATATGCACGCACAACTTTTCCGTTATTTATTTTTTATAATTTTTTGAAATAAGTTATTTTTTTCATTCCACTTCACCAATTTGGACTATTTTGTGTATGTCCATTACATGAAATCCAAATAAAAATCCATTTAAATTACAGGTTGTAATGCAACAAAATAGGAAAAACGCCAAGGAGGATGAATACTTTTGCAAGGCACTGTATACTCCCATTGACTATAATGGGCGATCCTGCTTTCTGAAAACATTGCCTGCAGTATCCCGATCGGCCTTGAACTTGAAATCCTCAATGAGAGGGGTCAGTAATTTTTCCCTGGGTAAAATAGGTCTTTAGTTTTGAACGGTTTGGGCTACGAGCGGTTTTCTGAATTGTAAAGATGCAACCACGGACACAAAGCTCCATTTGTTTCTATGGCAGAGGCTGTAGCATACTTTAGTCTGACCTGTGCTAATGGTTTTCACAGATGAAGTAAAATGATGCAAATGACTTTGCTCGTGAAGCGCGCGCGGCCCCTCAAATGATACAAATGTAACTGAGTACACAGGACTTGAAACAACCACACACACAGATGTAACCACGTTTTAATGTTTTAATCCGACCAGCACAAGTCAACATTCCACAGGTGCATTCCACAGGTCACGTTTGTAAGTGAGTGATCAAAAAACAATAATCAAGATTAGGAAAACGTTTCACGGCACACCAGTTGGTAACCACTGATGTAGGAAATAGGGTGCCATTTGGAACGCAAACGTGTGTATTCTCCCACCACTAGCCTAGTGGCCTATGCACTCTCCAGCCCTAGACTACAGTATACTTACTTCGACTGTACACCTATGCATGAAATCCTACATTCCAACATGCCCAAGCACTAAATCATGTCTGTTTCTCTCTCCCACAGGGTGGCATGTATGTGTTTCAACTCTTTGACTACTATGCAGCCAGCGGTGTGTGCCTTTTGTGGGTTGCATTCTTTGAATGTATTGCTGTATCGTGGGTTTATGGTACGTGTACTCTACTCTGGACAAAATGCTCTGTGTGTCTGTATAGGAACTGTGGACGTTTAATGTCCTCAGGCTCTACGTCAGTTAAATGTATCATTTTAGTCATTTAGCAGACGCTCTTAACCAGAGAGACATACAGGAGCAATTAGGGTTAAGTGTCTTGCTCAAGGGCACATTGACAGATTTTTCACCTAGGCGACATGGGGATTCGAACCAATGACCTTTCGGTTACTGGCCCATTGTCTTAAGCACTAGGCTACCTTTATAATACTTTACAATCACAACTAGTCAAGCTATATAGAGGTTTTATAGTTATGTCTCGAGTGCAACAAATATATTTTATCTCTGATACAATTTATTGTTGCATTATATCAACTGACACTGCCAAAATAGAGCGAGTGAAGTGCAAGAGTTGGTTCAGGATTTTTTAATTTTTTTATTTAAATTTATTTATTTCACCTTTATTTAACCAGGTAAGCCAGTTGAGAACAAGTTCTCATTTACAACTGCGACCTGGCCAAGATAAAGCAAAGCAGTGCGTTAAAAACAACAACAACACAGAGTTACATATGGAATAAACAAAACGCACAGTCAAAAACACAATAGAAAATCTATATACACATGTGACCAAATGCTCCCTATTTATTTATGTTCTCCTCCAATCAGGCGTTGATAATTTCTATGATGCGATTGAAGACATGATTGGCTACAGACCAAATCCCTGGATGAAATGGAGCTGGTCTGTGATCACGCCTCTTCTTTGTGTGGTGAGTCTATGTTAATTAAAATACAGACTTCGTCCAAAATGGCAGCCCCTACTGTATATAATGGCACCCTACCCCTACCCTATGGGCCCTGGTCAAAAGAAGTGCACTACATATGGAATAGGGTGCCCTTTGGGACGCTGTCCTACAAACCTCCCATACTGAAAGGAAAGAGAGTGCTGTATCTGCAAATGTCTGTCATTCCATCCTCCCACACATAAACATTATACTACAACAGCAGCAGTGTGTGTGTGTGTGTGTGTGTGTGTGTGTGTGTGTGTGTGTGTGTGTGTGTGTGTGTGTGTGTGTGTGTGTGTGTGTGTGTGTGTGTGTGTGTGTGTGTGTGTGTGTGTGTGTGTGTGTGTGTGTGTGTGTGTGTGTGTGTGTGTGTGTGTGTGTGTGTGTGTGTGTGTGTGTGTTTGAGTTGTGTTTGAGTTGTGTTTGAGTTTGTGTGTGTCCTCTCTGGATTTGATGTGAAAATCCACACTTGACTCAGTGAGCTGAACAACGTTAAGCCCCAGATGGAAGGGCCATCTGTCTATCCACAATAGCATCAACCCCCAAGCCATAATGCTGCTAAATAGCCATCAAAATGGCTGCTTGGACTATCTGCACTGACTCTTCTATTTGATTTCTGCACTGACTCTATGCACACATTACACACTCACTCACACTGACACTCCAACACACACACACACACACACACACACACACACACACACACACTCAAACACTTCATTTGCTCACACACACATAACACGCACACAAATTCATACTGACTCTACACACACGCACACACACTCACATACGATCTCATATACGCTGCTGCTACTCTGGTAATCATATATCCTGATGCCTAGTCACCTTACTGCTATACATATCAACCTCTATCGATCCAGTATCCCTGTATATTGTAAAATGGTATTGGGACTGACCCTGTATATAGCTACTGACCCTGGAACTGACCCTGTATATAGCTACTGACCCTGGAACTGTCCCTGTATATAGCTACTGACCCTGGAACTGTCCCTGTATATAGCTACTGACCCTGGAACTGTCCCTGTATATAGCTACTGACCCTGGAACTGACCCTGTATATAGCTACTGACCCTGGAACTGTCACTGCATATAGCTACTGACCCTGGAACTGTCCCTGTATATAGCTACTGACCCTGGAACTGACCCTGTATATAGCTACTGACCCTGGAACTGTATATAGCTACTGACCCCGGAACTGTCCCTGTATATAGCTACTGACCCGGGAACTGTCCCTGCATAAAGCTACTGACCCTGGAACTGTCCCTGCATATAGCTACTGACCCTGGAACTGTCCCTGTATATAGCTACTGACCCTGGAACTGACCCTGTATATAGCTACTGACCCTGGAACTGTATATAGCTACTGACCCTGGAACTGTATATAGCTACTGACCCTGGAACTGTCCCTGTATATAGCTACTGACCCTGGAACTGTCCCTGTATATAGCTACTGACCCTGGAACTGACCCTGTATATAGCTACTGACCCTGGAACTGTATATAGCTACTGACCCCGGAACTGTCCCTGTATATAGCTACTGACCCGGGAACTGTCCCTGCATATAGCTACTGACCCTGGAACTGTCCCTGCATATAGCTACTGACCCTGGAACTGTCCCTGTATATAGCTACTGACCCTGGAACTGACCCTGTATATAGCTACTGACCCTGGAACTGTATATAGCTACTGACCCTGGAACTGTCCCTGTATATAGCTACTGACCCTGGAACTGACCCTGTATATAGCTACTGACCCTGGAACTGACCCTGTATATAGCTACTGACCCTGGAACTGTCCCTGTATATACAGTGGGGAAAAAAAGTATTTAGTCAGCCACCAATTGTGCAAGTTCTCCCACTTAAAAAGATGAGAGAGGCCTGTAATTTTCATCATATGTACACGTCAACTATGACAGACAAAATGAGAAAAAAAAATCCAGAAACTCACATTGTAGGATTTTTAATGAATTTATTTGCAAATTATGGTGGAAAATAAGTATTTGGTCAACTTCAAACAAGCAAGATTTCTGGCTCTCACAGACCTGTAACTTCTTCTTTAAGAGGCTCCTCTGTCCTCCACTCGTTACCTGTATTAATGGCACCAGTTTGAACGTGTTATCAGTATAAAAGACACCTGTCCACAACCTCAAACAGTCACACTCCAAACTCCACTATGGCCAAGACCAAAGAGCTGTCAAAGGACACCAGAAACAAAATTGTAGACCTGCACCAGGCTGGGAAGACTGAATCTGCAATAGGTAAGCAGCTTGGTTTGAAAAAATCTACTGTGGGAGCAATTATTAAGAAATGGAAGACATACAAGACCACTGATAATCTCCCTCGATCTGGGGCTCCACGCAAGATCTCACCCAGTGGGGTCAAAATGATCACAAGAACGGTGAGCAAAAATCCCAGAACCACACGGGGGGACCTAGTGAATGACCTGCAGAGAGCTGGGACCAAAGTAACAAGCCTACCATCAGTAACACACTGCGCCGCCAGGGACTCAAATCCTGCAGTGTCAGACGTGTCCCCCTGCTTAAGCCAGTACATGTCCAGGCCCGTCTGAAGTTTGCTAGAGTGCATTTGGATGATCCAGAAGAGGATTGGGAGAATGTCATATGGTCAGATGAAACCAAAATATAACTTTTTGGTAAAAACTCAACTCGTTGTGTTTGGAGGACAAAGAATGCTGAGTTGCATCCAAAGAACACCATACCTACTGTGAAGCATGGGGGTGGAAACATCATGCTTTGGGGCTGTTTTTCTGCAAAGGGACCAGGACGACTGATCCGTGTAAAGGAAAGAATGAATGGGGCCATGTATCGTGAGATTTTGAGTGAAAACCTCCTTCCATCAGCAAGGGCATTGAAGATGACACGTGGCTGGGTCTTTCAGCATGACAATGATCCCAAACACACCGCCCGGGCAACGAAGGAGTGGCTTCGTAAGAAGCATTTCAAGGTCCTGGAGTGGCCTAGCCAGTCTCCAGATCTCAATCCCATAGAAAATCTTTGGAGGGAGTTGAAAGTCTGTGTTGCCCAGTGACAGCCCCAAAACATCACTGCTCTAGAGGAGATCTGCATGGAGGAATGGGCCAAAATACCAGCAACAGTGTGTTAAAACCTTGTGAAGACTTACATAAAACGTTTGACCTGTGTCATTGCCAACAAAGGGTATATAACAAAGTATTGAGAAACTTTTGTTATTGACCAAATACTTATTCTCCACCATCATTTGCAAATAAATTCATTAAAAATCCTACAATTTGATTTTCTGGACAATTTTTTCTCATTTTGTCTGTCATAGTTGACGTGTACCTATGATGAAAATTACAGGCCTCTCTCATCTTTTTAAGTGGGAGAACTTGCACAATTGGCGGCTGACTAAATACTTTTTTTCCCCACTGTACATTTACATTTTTACATTTAGCAGACGCTCTTATCCAGAGCGACTTACAGTTAGTGAATACATATTTTTTTTATACTGGCCCCCCGTGGGAATCGAACCCACAACCCTGGCGTTGCAAACGCCATGCTCTATCAACTGAGCTACATCCCTGCCGGCCATTCCCTCCCCTACCCTGGACAACGCTGGGCCAATTGTGCGCCGCCCATGAGTCTCCCGGTCGCGGCCGGCTGCGACAGAGCCTGGATTCGAACCAGGATCTCTAGTGGCACAGTTAGCACTGCGATGCAGTGCCTTAGACCACTGCGCCACTCAGGAGCCCAATATAGCTACTGACCCTGGATCTGTCCCTGTATATAGCTACTGACCCTGGAACTGTCCCTGTATATAGCTACTGACCCTGGAACTGTCCCTGTATATAGCTACTGACCCTGGAACTGTCCCTGTATATAGCTACTGACCCTGGAACTGTCCCTGTATATAGCTACTGACCCTGGAACTGACCCTGTATATAGCTACTGACCCTGGATCTGTCCCTGTATATAGCTACTGACCCTGGAACTGACCCTGTATATAGCTACTGACCCTGGAACTGACCCTGTATATAGCTACTGACCCTGGAACTGTCCCTGTATATAGCTACTGACCCTGGAACTGTCCCTGTATATAGCTACTGACCCTGGAACTGTCCCTGTATATAGCTACTGACCCTGGAACTGTCCCTGTATATAGCTACTGACCCTGGAACTGTCCCTGTATATAGCTACTGACCCTGGAACTGTCCCTGTATATAGCTACTGACCCTGGAACTGTCCCTGTATATAGCTACTGACCCTGGAACTGTCCCTGTATATAGCTACTGACCCTGGAACTGACCCTGTATATAGCTACTGACCCTGGAACTGTCCCTGTATATAGCTACTGACCCTGGAACTGTCCCTGTATATAGCTACTGACCCTGTATATAGCTACTGACCCTGGAACTGTCCCTGTATATAGCTACTGACCCTGGAACTGTCCCTGTATATAGCTACTGACCCTGGAACTGTCCCTGTATATAGTGTAGGTTACTTACTTTCTCGTGTTCTACTTTACTTTATTTTATAGTACGATATATTGATATTTATTACTGCATTGTTGGGATAAGCGCTTGCAAGAAAGGCATTTCACTCTACTTGTGCACGTGTCAATAAAAACGTGAAACTTGCCTGCTGAGAGAAGAGAGGAGAGGGGGAGGGAGAAGAGAGGGGAGGGAGAGGGAGAAGAGAGGGGAAGACTGGATGAGAGGAGGGGAGAGAAGAGAGGGGGAAGACTGGATGAGAGGAGGGGAGAGAAGAGAGGGGAAGACTGGATGAGAGGAGGGGAGAGAAGAGAGGAGAGGGAGAGGGAGAAGAGAGGGGAAGACTGGATGAGAGGAGGGGAGAGAAGAGAGGAGCGGTTAGAGGGAGAAGAGGAGGGGGAGAGGAGAGATAGACAGTGGACTAGTTCCTATCTGAGCTTTCGGGTTAGGGTCTTAAATTGGGGTGTGGGGTGGGAGGTCCTAGGCTAATTTGCCTAACAACAGTGGCCAGGTCTCCTCTCTAAAGCCTTATCACTGCTTTGTAAAGTCACATTCACTCCTGCGTTGCCCTGCGTCCCTGGTGGTTAAAGGGTGACTAACTGGTGGCTGGTGGTAAAACTGTGTGTGCGGTGCTGGATTAAAACTGTTGAGGCATTTGGGAAATGTGGCGCTTGGCTCCGTCCTTAGGCTAATCCCATTTAATCCCCTTAACGACCAGGAAAACATAGTGCTAATTGCTCTCATGAGACGGACTAAGGGGGAGACTAAGGAGAGTTTGAGGAGAATGAGAGGGAATAAGGAGAATTTGAGGAGATGTTTGTGAATGTCAATTACTAACAGCCCTGATGTTATTGTGGTGTTAGACACCATCCCCCGGATATGACTGTAGCCTTATTATCAATTTAGTCAATAATTGTTTTAGTTCAAAAAAAATAGTCGTTTGTTTGAAGGAAGTGACAGATACGGTTTCCATCACTACATTCTTATTAATAAAATAAAAAAATACAATATGTGCTTTTAGTCTTAACTTCCAAGGAGGACGCTTTCGGAAGATCCTTGTCACGAGTGTCAGTTGAATGCGGTGGATCGAAGTCAGGCGCAGGACACAGAACTCATTGAAACGTACTTTACTGAAATAAGTAAAGAAACCAATAAAAAAATACCTCCACACACAGGGAGGAACAAACCCGCTCACCAAACGACACACGAAACGAAATAACAAACACGCACAAAACACAACGGGAGCCACCGGGTTAAATAGGGAAGGAGGTAATCACATGATGGGCAACAGGTGTGTAACAATCAGACAACAACAGGTAGAACATAGAAACAGAGAACATAGATCGGCAGTAGCTAGTACTCCGGTGACGACGAACGCCGAAGCCTGCCCGAGCAAGGAGGAGGGGCAGCCTCGGCAGAATCCGTGACAATCCTTTGTTTGGAGATGCTAATAGTGAGTCAGGACCAGGTCTGTTGCGGTGACCGTAGTTACCGCCACACCGCCGGTCACGAGTCATGGAGGCAGGATGTCTTCTTTCTTCAGCAGTTGTGTCAGAATACAGTGCTCTGTCCTTCCAGAACCATGACTGCTGTACAGAAATACTAGCTAACTCATTATGATAAAAGAGAGCCGTGCTACGTTCTTACGGTGCTGAATGTCAAAAGATGTAATATTTGAAGAAGTATAACGTTCACCATATACATTGTGATTTAAAATGGAATCCTCTAGACTAGCACCAGCTTGTATTTCAACACAGTATTTCATCTCAAATTCAACATTTCACAGTGCTTTAAAGTTCAGACTGTGTCCCGAGGCTAAATGTGAAGTGGTATAATTATAGTGTGTTGTTATTGGGGCTGTTGCGGTGACCGTATTACCGCCACACCGGCAGTCACGAGTCATGAAGGCAGTCAAATTCCACGTGACCGTTTGGTCACAGTAATTAGGCTTCTCCAAGCTCTGATGCTGCTGATGGTCATTAATAGCCAACCAAACTTGCTAACTGCCTGGTACTCAGCACTCTATTGTCCCCGTAATCACCCTGACGTCAATGCAAATGTAATGGAAAATCTAATCAAACACTTCATGAGAGCCCATGTTATCATGTTGTGCAACATTTCTATAGGCTATGCAATTGCGGGAGAAAACAGAGTGATGGCCTCTATTAAAAAGAGGAGGATCCCATCAGCTTTCTATAGGCTAGGCCTACTATATTTATTTATCAAATCTCCTAATATTAAGCACATTGCTTATATTTACAACAGGAGTATAGCCTACCTGGCTGGCATGAAAATGAACCACGGGAAAAGCCTCCTCCATTCACTATTTAAGTGCATAGATGACATGTATTTTTCCCACTGCCCCTGTTTTCGAGACAAGTGCATGATAATGTTCCATTCTAAATCAAAACAGATTTCACAAGATTAAATCAAGAATAGTCCCGTGTAGCTCAGTTGGTAGAGCATGGCGCTTGCAACTCCAGGGTTGTGGGTTCGTTTCCCACGGGGGGCCAGTATGAAAGTGTATGCACTCACTAACTGTAAGTCGCTTTGGATAAGAGCGTCTGCTAAATTACTAAAATGTAAATGTAAAATAGTCTGACGGGTGACGATATTAGCCAGATATTAGATATTATTCACTTGTGAATGATATATTATCACCTGTGGCAAGAAACAATGCATTTTTTTGCGACTTTTTCCAATCATAGTCGCACCCCTCATGTAGCCTAGCCCATAGGCCTATATGTTTTGATAAGGTTTCTATCACAACTAAAGTGGCCAAATAACTTCTTAAAATGAAGCACATTAATCTGCTTTACAACGGGTGTAGAGCCTAACTGGCATACATAAGCAGCGTGTGAGTTTCAAGTTTGGGGAAGATAATGTTCACCATAAAAATGCACCTTTTATAATAAAAGCATTACATACAAAATCGCATTTGCAGTCACTTTTGATAATGGTGTTTTCCCGCTAATGGAACACTAGCGCTTATAGTCTACTGCCGTGTGCTCATTGCTGCGCTTATAATGTGAAGAAATAGCCTAATAGTTCATCAACATTTTAAGCTAAACATTTTGATCTGTTGTGTCAGCCACATTGCGTAAAAACATTGCGTTTTTTTTTTTTATGCTAGTGGTTGTATTAATTTGGGATCTATCGCATCCCACAACTGTCCCAGACTATGTTTGGAATATTTATTTATCGCACAGAATAGAATAGGTCGACTTTTGCACTATGGGGGATAGTAGATTGACATAGGCTAGTGTTTTTGCTGTTCGTTAGGCCTACTCATCTTGTTGGCTGACGAAAAGTAAATGTGAACAGTTCTTCCAATATCTTCAATATGCACCTCGGAATTGGATAAGGACGCGCGCAGTTGCGTCCCCGATGTGGCTGTCTTCACTTGTAGCCTGTGAGAAAGACCCGATCACATGCTGGAGAGCCATGTGAGTGAGAGGTGCGTCGGAGTGTGCAGCACTCAGGGAGAAGGGCACAACGTAGCACTCCAGGCCAAGGGCACAACGGCCACTGGCCGCAAAAGGGTGTATTATGGCCACACAAAGGGGATGCCGCCGGGAAATTCGAGGCATTATCAAGTGCTTGTCAAATTGTGAATGCAAGACTGATGAAGTGTGTACAGCCTGCGCAAAAAAACAAAGCAGAGCTCATGCCTTTCAAATCATCATTAGAGTCTCATCATGCAGCCTTACAACATATTAAAAATCAAAACATATAGCCCAACGTTTGTAGAACAACTAAAGTTACATTAATAACTCTAAATTAAGCTAATAGGAGTACCTATTTCTTTGTTAACCGCTCAACACAGAATAGCCACATGTGCGCACTCCCTCAAATCGTTTGGAGAAAATATCCTTTCTATTTTATTCAGCTTTGTTCAGTTGTATTCTTCATACTATAAAATAATATAAAAGAATGCCACGGAATTCTAAGCAAATCTTGTCTGCTAAAATAACTAGTGTAGCATAGCCAGATCAGGATCTAACATAAGGACAACTCAGAGTATGCTATTCTGTTCTTCTGAAATAGACTACATTTTCTTCATATCATGTTTCTTTAGACCTGTCTAAAATAAATAATGGATTTATTGTGAAGGTGTAGGCTATATTACATGGATTCATTAGACTTTTCAAAATGTAGATGTTCCAAAGGTCTGCATCAGTGGCTTGTAGGCTATGAGTGGAAGCCAGGAGATGCTAAATGTGTTTATGTTAATTAACGGTCAGTTACCGTGAGACCGACAGTTATTTGCTTGACAATCACCAGCTGACGAAATTTCGTGACCGCCACAGCGATAGTCAGAACAAACTGTCCATTACATAAAACAATGCCCAAGCTTTTCCTGATTGTTAGACATTGGAGAATGTGAGTTATCAGTAATACATCAACCTTCCCTTATAATGTAGCTTAGTGTTTATAGTGAAGCTTGTTTTTCTTAGCTGACAGTGTACATACCACGTGATTTGTGTAAACTCTGCTTCTACATGTATATCCTGTTTACCATCTGGCTGTATATCCTGTTTACCATCTGGCTGTATATCCTGTTTACCATCTGGCTGTATATCCTGTTTATCATCTGTCTGTATATCCTGGTTATCATCTGTCTGTATATCCTGTTTATTGTGGGAGCACCATTTCACCAAACCAAATTCCTGTACATGCAAATGTATTTGGCGAATAAAGATGATTTTGATTTCCATTGTTGTTTGTCTCTGTCTCCAGGGTTGCTTCGTCTTCTCCTTGGTCAAATATAAACCTTTGACGTACAACAAGGTTTACGAGTACCCCGACTGGTCCATCGGTGTGGGCTGGACTCTGGCCCTGGCTTCTATGATCTGTATTCCTATGGTGGTTGTCATCAAGATCATCCAGTCCGATGGACCACTCATAGAGGTTAGTACATAACCCCTATAGCCCCTACTCCTAGACCCTGGCCCCTACCCCTAGACACTGGCCCTTACCCCTAGACCCTGGCCCCTACCCCTAGACCCTGGCCCCTACCCCTAGACCCTGGCCCCTACCCCTAGACCCTGGCCCCTACCCCTAGACCCTGGCCCCTACCCCTAGACCCTGGCCCCTACCCCTAGGCCCTCTACCCTACCCCTAGACCCTGGCCCCTACCCCTAGACCCTGGCCCCTACCCCTGGCCCCTACCCCTAGACCCTGGCCCCTACCCCTGGCCCCTACCCCTAGACCCTGGCCCCTACCCCTAGACCCTGGCCCCTACCCCTAGACCCTGGCCCCTACCCCTGGCCCCTACCCCTAGAACCTGGCCCCTACCCCCCTAGACCCTGGCCCCTACCCCCTGGCCCCTACCCCCTAAGACCCTGGCCCCTACCCCTGGCCCCTACCCCTAGACCCTGGCCCCTACCCCTGGCCCCTACCCCTAGACCCTGGCCCCTACCCCTGGCCCCTACCCCTAGACCCTGGCCCCTACCCCTGGCCCCTACCCCTAGACCCTGGCCCCTACCCCTAGACCCTGGCCCCTACCCCTAGACCCTGGCCCCTACCCCTAGACCCTGGCCCCTACCCCTAGACCCTGGCCCCTACCCCTAGGCCCTCTACCCTACCCCTAGACCCTGGCCCCTACCCCTAGACCCTGGCCCCTACCCTAGGCCCTCTACCCTACCCCTAGACCCTGGCCCCTACCCCTAGACCCTGGCCCCTACCCCTAGACCCTGGCCCCTACCCCTAGACACTGGCCCCTACCCCTAGACCCTGGCCCCTACCCCTAGACCCTGGCCCCTACCCCTAGGCCCTCTACCCTACCCCTAGACCCTGGCCCCTACCCCTAGACCCTAGACCCTACCCCTAGACCCTCTTCCCTACCCCTAGACCCTGGCCCCTACCCCTAGACCCTGGCCCCTACCCCTAGACCCTGGCCACTACTCCTAGACCCTGGCCCCTACTCCTAGACCCTGGCCCCTACCCCTAGACCCTGGACCCTACCCCTAGACCCTGGCCCCTACTCCTAGACCCTAGACCCTACCCCTAGACCCTCTTCCCTACCCCTAGACCCTACCCCTAGACCCTGGCCCCTACTCCTAGACACTGGCCCCTACCCCTAGACCCTGGCCCCTACTCCCAGACCCTACCCCTAGGCCCTCTTCCCTACCCCTAGACCCTGGCCCCTACCCCTAGACCCTGGCCCCTACCCCTGGCCCCTACCTCTAGGCCCTCTTCCCTACCCCTAGACCCTGGCCCCTACCCCTGGCCCCTACCCCTAGACCCTGGCCCCTACCCCTGGCCCCTACCCCTTAGACCCTGGCCCCTACCCCTGGCCCCTACCCCTAGACCCTGGCCCCTACCCCTGGCCCCTACCCCTAGACCCTGGCCCCTACCCCTGGCCCCTACCCCTAGACCCTGGCCCCTACCCCTAGACACTGGCCCCTACCCCTAGACACTGGCCCTACCCCTACCCCTAGACCCTGGCCCCTACCCCTAGACCCTGGCCCCTACCCCTAGACCCTGGCCCCTACCCCTGGCCCCTACTCCTAGACCCTGGCCCCTACCCCTGGCCCCTACCCCTGGCCCCTACTCCTAGACCCTGGCCCCTACCCCTGGCCCCTACCCCTAGACCCTGGCCCCTACCCCTAGACCCTGGCCCCTACCCCTAGACCCTGGCCCCTACCCCTAGACCCTGGCCCCTACCCCTGGCCCCTACCCCTGGCCCCTACCCCTAGACACTGGCCCTTACCCCTACCCCTGGCCCCTACCCCTAGACCCTGGCCCCTACCCCTAGACCCTGGCCCCTACCCCTGGCCCCTACCCCTAGACACTGGCCCTTACCCCTACCCCTGGCCCCTACCCCTAGACCCTGGCCCCTACCCCTGGCCCCTACCCCTAGACCCTGGCCCCTACCCCTAGACCCTGGCCCCTACCCCTAGACACTGGCCCTTACCCCTACCCCTGGCACCTACCCCTAGACCCTGGCCCCTACCCCTAGACCCTGGCCCCTACCCCTAGACACTGGCCCTTACCCCTACCCCTGGCCCCTACCCCTAGACCCTGGCCCCTACCCCTAGGCCCTCTACCCTACCCCTAGACCCTGGCCCCTACCCCTAGACCCTGGACCCTACCCCTGGCCCCTACCCCTAGACCCTGGCCCCTACCCCTAGACCCTGGCCCCTACCCCTGGCCCCTACCCCTAGACCCTGGCCCCTACCCCTAGACCCTGGCCCCTACCCCTGGCCCCTACCCCTAGACCCTGGCCCCTACCCCTAGACCCTGGCCCCTACCCCTGGCCCCTACCCCTAGGCCCTCTACCCTACCCCTAGACCCTGGCCCCTACCCCTAGAACCTGGCCCCTACCCCTAGACCCTGGCCCCTACCCCTGGCCCCTACCCCTAGACCCTGGCCCCTACCCCTGGCCCCTACCCCTAGACCCTGGCCCCTACCCCTTGACCCTGGCCCCTACCCCTAGACCCTGGCCCCTACCCCTGGCCCCTACCCCTGGCCCCTACCCCTGGCCCCTACCCCTAGACACTGGCCCTTACCCCTACCCCTGGCCCCTACCCCTAGACCCTGGCCCCTACCCCTGGCCCCTACCCCTAGACCCTGGCCCCTACCCCTAGACCCTGGCCCCTACCCCTGGCCCCTACCCCTAGACCCTGGCCCCTACCCCTGGCCCCTACCCCTAGACCCTGGCCCCTACCCCTGGCCCCTACCCCTAGACCCTGGCCCCTACCCCTGGCCCCTACCCCTAGACCCTGGCCCCTACCCCTAGACCCTGGCCCCTACCCCTAGACCCTGGCCCCTACCCCTAGACCCTGGCCCCTACCCCTAGACCCTCTTCCCTACCCCTAGACCCTGGCCCCTACCCCTAGACCCTGGCCCCTACCCCTGGCCCCTACCTCTAGGCCCTGGCCCCTACCTCTAGGCCCTGGCCCCTACCCCTAGACCCTGGCCCCTACCCCTAGACCCTGGCCCCTACCCCTAGACCCTGGCCCCTACCCCTAGACACTGGCCCCTACCCCTAGACCCTGGCCCCTACCCCTAGACCCTGGCCCCTACCCCTAGACCCTGGCCCCTACCCCTAGACCCTGGCCCCTACCCCTAGACCCTGGCCCCTACCCCTGGCCCCTACCCCTAGACCCTGGCCCCTACCCCTAGACACTGGCCCCTACCCCTAGACCCTGGCCCCTACCCCTAGGCCCTCTACCCTACCCCTAGACCCTGGCCCCTACCCCTAGACCCTGGCCCCTACCCCTAGGCCCTCTACCCTACCCCTAGACCCTGGCCCCTACCCCTAGACCCTGGCCCCTACCCCTAGACCCTGGCCCCTACCCCTAGACACTGGCCCCTACCCCTAGACCCTGGCCCCTACCCCTAGACCCTGGCCCCTACCCCTAGGCCCTCTACCCTACCCCTAGACCCTGGCCCCTACCCCTAGACCCTAGACCCTACCCCTAGACCCTCTTCCCTACCCCTAGACCCTGGCCCCTACCCCTAGACCCTGGCCCCTACCCCTAGACCCTGGCCACTACTCCTAGACCCTGGCCCCTACTCCTAGACCCTGGCCCCTACCCCTAGACCCTGGACCCTACCCCTAGACCCTGGCCCCTACTCCTAGACCCTAGACCCTACCCCTAGACCCTCTTCCCTACCCCTAGACCCTACCCCTAGACCCTGGCCCCTACTCCTAGACACTGGCCCCTACCCCTAGACCCTGGCCCCTACTCCCAGACCCTACCCCTAGGCCCTCTTCCCTACCCCTAGACCCTGGCCCCTACCCCTAGACCCTGGCCCCTACCCCTGGCCCCTACCTCTAGGCCCTCTTCCCTACCCCTAGACCCTGGCCCCTACCCCTGGCCCCTACCCCTAGACCCTGGCCCCTACCCCTGGCCCCTACCCCTAGACTCTGGACCCTAGACTTTAGGTACTTCGTGTAGATCTGTCAAGAAATTGATAGCAGGTATAAGCAGCTCCAGCTTGCCCTCTGATTGGTATACTGTACCCCTGTGTGGAGGTCATTTCTCATTTCCATCCATCTGTAACATATACACTTGGGAGTCGTATAATCCTACCTGTATATTGGTATTTACTGTGAAGTTAAACAGAGCTTTTCTTTTTGTCTCCCTCCAGAGGATCAAGGCCGTGGCGGCTCCGCTAGGAGGTGCTAGCTCCCGTCCAGCCGACCACCGTCCCAAGGGCAAGGCTTCCGAGCTGGCCTACCCGCTGGACCCCAACGGGAACAACGGCCTGATCAAGCCCACCCACACTATTGTAGAAACCATGATGTGAGCGCTCTCTGTGAGAGGAAATAATTTTTAAAAGAAATACCCGCTTTCTATGTTACTATACTATATTATCGCTAAACTACTTGTAGGACCAGGTTTACATTGCTATGTATCTGCACTAGGAGGCTTCTTTTTGTTTTGTTTTCTACAGAGGAAGTTACGTTATTGGTTTTCTGTCTTATGTTTTAAATATTTGTTATTAAACTATTGTTATGAATATTACTGTTATTACGATTGATGAACTTCTGTGATCTCCAAGTCACATGGAGCAGCAGTATCCTATAAGAACAGAACCTGACATTCATACTTCTTCTTTCCTGTAGAATTATAAGTGGTCTGTCTCTATTTTTGGGGTAGAATCTTAAAAACATAAATACAATAAAATGTACTTAGATAATACAAAGGGCGGTATAAAACCGGAAGAACTAAATGTGTGTCGTGTTTTGAGCTGTAACATTTGACTATGTGATGTTGGTGTATCTAGATCAACCTAGCCCCCTTTCTTCTCAGCTTAACTAATGTATGACGATATCGTGGAGGTGGTGCCGTTGTTGTATACAGTGAGATTAGTTTGAGTGTGTTTGTCGTTGATGTCTGTTGTAAAATTACAGCTGAACCTGAACGTACCTCCACTACTAAGCTGCGTTCAGGGTCCAGAGCATCTCATCTACAGCTGCGGGCCACTAAAACAAAACAAAAAGCAAACCCTGTACCGGTCTGCTGTACCAGGGTTTTGTGACAAACAATTGCTAGAAGGCACTTGAGCACCTTGCCGCAATTGTTTTGCCAGTATATATATATGACACTGCAGCGCTACCTAACTTTTTAGTGTCAGCAACTGTACCTGGCACTGACTGTGGAGGTGCAGACCTGTGTACATCCACTTAAGCCCAACTTCATTTTAGACTACGTTGGTGTGAAGGACACTACTGCTGCATGCCGTCCATCCCATCCATCCCATCCATCCATCCATCCATCCATCCATCCAATCCATCCCATCCATCCATCCATCCAATCCATCCATCCCATCCATCCATCCATCCCATCCATCCATCCATCCATCCCATCCATCCCATCCATCCATCCCATCATCCATCCATCCCATCCATCCCATCCATCCCATCCCATCCATCCATCCATCCATCCAATCCATCCATCCCATCCATCCATCCATCCATCCAATCCATCCATCCATCCCATCCATCCATCCATCCATCCATCCAATCCATCCATCCCATCCATCCCAACTTCATTTTAGACTACGTTGGTGTGAAGGACACTACTGCTGCATGCCATCCATCCCATCCATCCCATCCATCCACACATCCATCCATCCATCCATCCATCCATCCATCCATCCATCCATCCATCCATCCATCCCATCCATCCATCCATCCATCCATCCCATCCATCCATCCATCCATCCATAGAGTAGCTACATCGCACGTGTTTAAAGTCTCTGATTGATCTTTTTCACTTAATAATGCAGTGCGTTTTCGTTTTCTTTGTGTTTTAGTCTCTTGTCGTATTTCTGGCTATAGATAGAAGACATGACATAGTGGCAAGTCAATAAGAGGAACAACAGCATCACTATATAATGCTGCTTATACCATCTCTTTAGTCTGTCTCTCCATGGATTGATAGGAGCCTAGAGGACCTGCCATAATGTCATGATACATTGATGTATACACACCATGCAGAAACTATTGCTCATTAAGGAACCATCCAAATGCAAGCAAACTGCTTATCAATCAGATCTTTCCATTGAATTTCTGTAGGCTAGGTCAGTGAAATGATGATGTAATTGATTAATATAGTAATTGATTAATATACTAACTAATAATATCCACTCCCTCTAGCCTTCTCACACTCCCGATCTATCGGTTGTCATATCTAAGCTTAGTTTTAAAATATGATATTAATACAGCTTTTCAAAGAGGCAGAAACAATTCAAAACAAAGCCTGATGGGATTTGAAGCATTATGATTCACAATGCAAAGATATTCTTCTTAAAATGGAATGTTGAAATGTGAAACCCCATGTTTTGAACGGAAGCTTCGGTTGATTCTATTGATTCTATTACATTGAAAAAAAACATATATTTTTGATTTTGTTGTATACAATTAGAAAACGTATTATTTTATTTTGATTGTTTTTCTGTCACATTTTTGCCTTTTGTATTCAAAATGTAAAATGACCACCCAGTCTCCAGTTACTAATACTTTTTGAGGATGAATCGTCATTTAACAACTTGCTGTTAATCAACAAAACTGCAATTTGTAATGTGTAATACTTTGTGGAAAGACAAGTATGTTTTTCACTCTGTTTTTTAAATAGGTGGTACTTTTTACTTTGGAAGTTTAGAGAAAAGAGAAAATAGTTGCTAAAACAATGCGAGAGACAAAAATGACAATTTCAGGGGCCAATGAAAACCACAAAATATTATGCCATAATATCAACAAAGAAACAACGTTCGTTGCATTAGTATCGCTCTCTGTCATAACACACACACACAGAATTTGATTAATCTTTTATCAAAAGATATATACAAATATTGTTGCAATGAAAAGTAACCCTGCCATTTTATAACTACTGACTCAATGCTTTCTGGTAGTCTGAATTGGCCTGTGAAGTACAGGTGACATTCTAAAATGATGCCGCCAAACTTAGGCCTACCCGTGATTCAGAGGGGTTAAATGCAGAGGACACATTTCGGTTGAACGCATTCAGTTGTGCAACTGACTAGGTATCCCCTTTTCCCTTTACCACAGTGCTGTTAGTGTGTTTAGGAGATTATGACCCGCAGAAATTAAACACCAGTAGTTAGCTAGTTAGATACCTGTAACAAATCGCTAGTAGTTAGCTAGTTAGATACCTGTAACAAATCGCTAGTAGTTAGCTAGCTAGATACCTGTAACAACCCACTAGTAGTTAGCTAGCTAGATACCTGTAACAACCCGCCAGTAGTTAGCTAGCTAGATACCTGTAACAACCCGCTAGTAGTTAGCTAGCTAGATACCTGTAACAAATCGCTAGTAGTTAGCTAGCTAGATACCTGTAACAACCCGCGAGTAGTTAGCTAGCTAGGTGCCTTACAGGTGCCGTATCAAAGAAGCCTACTGAGAAAAAAAAAGAGAAAGCATTATTACGGTGAAGATAATGACACCCAGTCCATTGCCATCGATTGGAGAAGTCTATTACGGATAGAAAACATCATGTTCAACTTATTTAACTCTACTGCCTCATATACATTACATTACATACCAGCCATTCCTTTATAAGAATGTACAAGGGGAAACCTTTTTAAAAATACAAATTGGAAATTATTATTATTATTTATTTCTATGGCGCTAAATAACCTGTAAAGCAAAAAATGTGTATTTAAAACGAGGGTTTTTACTGAGAAAAACAGTAAAACCTTTTTATTTCTTAATAAATAAAACATCTTTGGTAAAAAAAAAAGCCTTTGCTTTTCTCATGCGCAGTAAGTCTATAGGCCATAATAAAGCAGTGAGATTGCACTTTAGTCACTCAACATCCTCATGATCCATATAATAAATAATAATAATTGATTGGATTTATATTGAGCTTTTCCAGATGCTTTACACAGTAAGGAGGGGAAACTCACCTCAACTCATCCACCCACCAATGTGTAGCACCCACTTGGGTGATGCCATGGCATTGATTTTGGAAAATCAATCCCACCACACATCCGCTATCATGGTGGAGAGGTGAGGAGGACCTATTGCTGGGAGTATGGACCCAGTGCTCCCTCCGAAACCCCCACCCGACCCCCAAACTAGGGGGGGCTAAAACCCCCACAACAATGCTGGTTCCAAGACGTATGACTTAAGATGCTTGTATAGTTAGTACTACACATTAAACATTGTGTTTTAGTGTCACAAGTGGGTTGATACATACTCTTGTCACAAGTGGGTTGATACATAAAATAGCTCTCCTAAAATAAAGATACACAATTTGGTAGGCATATAACTGACAAACTACAGGGAATGGTCTTACATTTAAGTCATTTAGCAGACGCTCTTATCCAGAGCCACTTACAGTAGTGAGTGCATACATTTTCGTACTGGTCCCCCGTGGGAATCGAACCCACAACCCTGCCGTTGCAAGCAGCATGCTCTACCAACTGAGCCACAGAGCGATCTCACTATATATAAGGATGACTGAGGACACAGCTAGTTATTTGCCAACCAATAAACACAATCATGGTTACAAAATCTTTAATTTGGATAAATGTTACAGATACATATTTACGTAACATGTTACAAATGTTACATAAATATGTATCTGCGAAAAGACAAAATGTAATTTCAGAACGACTGAGAAGATGTTCCCATTAATTCAATGCAACGATAGTCCATTATTATAATTCATAAACACATCAGGTATGCAAGGGACACATTATGTTGAAATTGAACACAACATTGAGTGGTAGAAAATCAACATAAACCTAATGCTTAAAAAAAAAAAAAACTATCTGTCTTGGAATGAGCATTACCTATGGAGGCATAGGGCGGCAGGTAGCTTAGTGGGTAAGAGCGTTGGGCCTAAAATGTAAATGTAAAATAGCCTGGTCCCAGATCAGTTTGTGACCCCCTATGGTCCTGACTCACCATAGGAAAACAGCACAAACAGATCTGGGACCATACTAGAGAATCCATGCTTCAACAATCAGATTACCAACGCAGTCCCACATCTCCTCCCTATGTTCCTGCTGCCTATGCTGTGGTCACATGTGATGGACCTGATGTGTTCGGTAGACCTTCTACCGGGTTCTCTCCTATTTCTCTCCCAAGTACCTTTATAAAGAGTACCTCATAAAGAGTACCTTATAAAGAGTACCTCATAAAGAGTACCTTATAAAGAGTACCTCATAAAGAGTACCTTATAAAGAGTACCTCATAAAGAGTACCTTATAAAGAGTACCTCATAAAGAGTACCTTATAAAGAGTACCTCATAAAGAGTACCTTATAAAGAGTACCTCATAAAGAGTACCTTATAAAGAGTACCTCATAAAGAGTACCTTATAAAGACCAAACTGATTTATGTGGTACTATATGAACTCTATTGTTCTACTGTTCTTCATACCATTGCTTTGTGCTGTTATTTACTGGTTTTTACATTTCTAGTGATGAAAAAAAAAAGCATATTTTTAGTAAGTATCCTTTGCTTTGATAGGTGACATTTGTAATTTGACAACTTTGTGAGGGAAAAATAAAAATTAAACATCTTTTTAAAAAAATGTTATTGTGGGGTTGTTTACTTTTTTGGACATATGGTCAATTTCTTAGAAATATAACATCAGACACCAGGTATCATTATGTAGGATTTAGTCATCTCAGCATCCATGACCCGCTTTAGTCATCTCAGCATCCATGACCCGCTTTAGTCATCTCAGCATCCATGACCCGCTTTAGTCATCTCAGCATCCATGACCCGCTTTAGTCATCTCAGCATCCATGACCCGCTTTCGTCATCTCAGCATCCATGACCCGCTTTCGTCATCTCAGCATCCATGACCCGCTTGAGTCATCTCAGCATCCATGACCCGCTTTAGTCATCTCAGCATCCATGACCCGCTTTAGTCATCTCAGCATCCATGACCCGCTTTAGTCATCTCAGCATCCATGACCCGCTTTCGTCATCTCAGCATCCATGACCCGCTTTAGTTATCTCAGCATCCATGACCCGCTTTAGTCCTCTCAGCATCCATGACCCGCTTTCGTCATCTCAGCATCCATGACCCGCTTTCGTCATCTCAGCATCCATGACCCGCTTTAGTCATCTCAGCATCCATGACCCGCTTTCGTCATCTCAGCATCCATGACCCAAACGACACGGTTTATAATAGTCATGTGGGAGAAGCCTGATGAATTTGCTGTGCAATGTCTTACACTGTAACACAGTGTGACAAAAGTTGATCAAACTCACTTCTATACCCCTTCACACCATGATTTACCAGCATGACTGGCATGTAAACCGGCAGGTAGCTTAGTGGTTAAGAGCGTTGTGCCAGTAACCGAAAGGTCGCTGGTTCTAATCCCCGAGCCGACTAGGTGAAAAATCTGTCGATGTGCCCTTGAGCAAGGCACTTAACCCTAATTGCTCCTGTAAGTCGCTCTGGATAAGAGCGTCTGCTAAATGACTAATTATAATTATTATAATTATAATTATAAACCCAAGTCTCAAACAATCGCATGAGATTCCATTCGGCATACTAACCATGTGTTGTTCTTGGCCCAATGTCGGAAGATGAAGCCTCACGGTAAAAGATTTCACACACTGATCTGGCCCTGTATTCACAAAGTGCTGATCTAGGATCAGGTCCCCTCTGTCCATATAATCTTTAATTCTTTATCATGTAAAAAGCTAAACTAATCCTATATCAGCACTCCTACTCTGTGACCACAGGCCCTGATCCCTGGCTAAAGAGATCTGTTTGCCCTGGGGAAGACAGTCCATTCTTAAAATAAACGCAAGTTATTTCTTCAAGTAAGGTTTAGTTAGTCTGTGTCTGCCAGATTTATCCAGGAATAGCTTATTATGGCAGAGAATATATTTTTGGAAAGATTTGGCATTTGTGCTCTGTAATAACAAAAACAAAACCTATTTCCTCTTGTGTTCCTCTTATTATTGCCTTTATTCAACTCAGATGTGCACGAAGTTATAATTCATACAAACATATTTTAATCTGACTTCATCAGATCCAAAAATAGGTTGCAAAAGGTGTCTAAACTTTAATTTTAGATTCATATGTTTTAATAGTTTAATATCTCTAATGTCTCTCTCTCTCTCTCTCTCTCTCTCTCTCTCTCTCTCTCCTCTCTCTCCTCTCTCTCCTCTCTCTCTCTCTCCCTCTCTCTCTCTCTCTCTCTCTCTCTCTCTCTCTCTCTCTCTCTCTCTCGTCCAGCCTCTCCTCTCCTCTCTCTCCTCCCTCTGTGGCTCCCGACAAGTGAGTCATCTCATTCTGCTCCTCAGTACCGGTCCTCTCCTCTTTCTCTCTCTCTGCTCTCTCTCTGGAGAGACCTATCTTGTTGCCACTACCTCCGTGTCGTCTCTGGACAGGCCTTCAGTAGCCCTCTTGTTTCAGTCCGTTTCTTCATTTGGTCTTCCTCTTGAGTCCTGTGTTGCTTTGCATTCCTCTGACTGGGTGAAAACCAGGAAGTGAGTGACAGTTGATTTGCTCATACCGTCCTCCTTCTTCTTGACTACTCTTCTTTTGTCCAGCTGGAGATAGAAATACGTGTTGAAAACCGTCACATGTTCTCTTCTGGACAGTTCAGCAATATCTGTTTCATTCCGTTTTGCTCAATTGTGACTAATGCCAACCATTTGTTTGTATGTCGCCATGGTTGCCATGAGAGATGTGACATACTGTGCTCTCCAATGTAGAAAAATTTTTTTCTCTGCAGTCGAAAGACCCAACTCTAGCTACAAAACCCTTTGCTTTGGTATAAGAACCCATTTAGGTAGCTAAGATTGTTGACATACGTTTTACCTTATAAGAAGCAACATTTACCCTGGACTACAGTAAAAACCCCAGTTTTTACCCGGCTACAGTAAGAACCCAGTTTTTACCCTACTGACTACAGTAAGAAACCCCAGTTACCTCTGACTACTAAGAACCCAGTTACCCGACACAGTAACCCGTTTACTACTACGCCCAGTTTACTCTGGACTCATCACTGGACAC